TATATAGTATATTATATATAAGTATTACGAAAGATATATATTAGACTACGGAGTCTATTATTACGGGTATATATATTATTTATATAAAGAAGAAAGAAAATAATACCCCTCGATATACCTAGAGTTATATAATAATAGCTATATATACGACCCTAAGGATAATAATATCGATATAGAATATTACTTATTAAAAAACTATTAATATTATTTATAAAAAGGGTATAAGATAACGAAGAAAACCTAAAGACCTTTTACTCTATAGAGATAGATAAAGGATAAAAAATAATTTTAGAAGTCTAAATTAATAGATATTATTTATAAGTATTATTAGATAATAAAATAATAAGAAACTATATCTTACTAGCGGTAATTAACCGATATATATTATTATAGAATTATAAGGCTCGATTATATAAGCTTTTTAATATCGAAGGATAAAGCTTTAATTATAATAGTAAAACTATCGACCGCGAGACTAATTATCTCGATATAGCGATATAAAGATACTATAAGATAATTATCTTCGATATTATAGACTTATATAAATACGATATAATACTAAGTTACTTATAGTTAATAAAAAGTAATTTAGTAGTCGATTAGTGTATTAATTAGTTAGCGTGGATAGATACGATAACGCGATAATTATTATTTAATTAGAAAAAAGCGAATATTCGCGATAACTTAGCTTCTAAAGTATCTTTATAAGAAGATATAAGTAAGCTAAAGTAAGTAAAAGCTATAATATTAACTAAGAAGGCTTTATAACTAGGTATATAATATAAATAAAGAAAACGAATTATTACTAATATTATATAAAAGATATTCGAAATAAACTAAGCTTTATAAGAATATATCGACGAAATACTTAAGAAAGGCTATATTCGAACCTTTACCTCGGAAATAAGATATTCCGTTATATTCGTATTAAAAAAGAATAAGAAACTATAATTAATTATAGACTATCGGTAGCTTAATAATATTACGATTAAAGATAGGATACCCTTACCGCTTATTAACGAGCTTAAGGATAGACTTTATAATAAGAATTAGTTTACTATTCTTAACCTAAAAAGAGCCTATAACTTAATCTATATAAAGAAAGGAAATAAATAAAAAATAGCTTTCTATACTAAGTTCGGTCTATTTAAGTATTTAATAATATTATTCGGCTTTATTAATACTCTAGTTATTTTCTAACAAATAATTAATAATATACTTAAAGAGTACTTAGATATCTTCGAAAGAATATAAAGAATATATTTATTAAATACTAAAAATACTTTAAGATATGAACCTCTTAATTAATTTAAAGAAATACGCGTTTTATATATAAAAAACTATCTTCCTTAGATATATAATTTAACTAAATAAAATCCTAATAAAATAAGTAAAGATTAATATAGTTAAAGAATAGCCTTTATTAGAAAATAATCTTAAGGAAGTATAAGTATTTATAAGATTCGTAAATTATTATCGGCGCTTTATATACGACTTCGCGAAAACTATAGTATTACTTATAGAACTTACGAAAAGTAAGAAAAAGTTTTATTTCGGAGAAAAATAAAAAAAAGCTTTCGAGATATTAGAGGATAATATAATATTTAATACTATATTCATAACCTATGACCCCGAAAAGCTACTTAAATTAGAAATAAATATATCGGACTATGCTATAGGAGCGTAGATTAGCTAACGAGATAATAATAGTAATCTATAACTAATCGCTTTTTTTTCGAAAAAACTCTATAGTATAGAACTAAATTACCCTATCTACGATAAGGAATTCTTAGTAATTATTATAGTTATTAAATAATTTAAGTATTATATACTAAGAACTAAGTTTAGAACTAAGGTTTATACCGATTACTAAAATATCTCTTACTTTACTATAATATAAGAACTTAGCTCGCGATAAGTATAATATATTAAATTCCTAGTAAAATATAATATTAAAATTATTTATTAAAAAGGATCGGAAAATAATAAAGTAAATATACTTAGCCGCCGACTAAACTATAATACTAAAGTACTAAAGGCTAAGGGCTAAATACTCTAATAAAATAATAAAAGAAACTATATATAAATAATACTTAATTTTCTCTTATTTAGGGTAGAAATAAATATTATATACTACGATAAAATACTAAATTAAGTATCTAAATATAAAGAAGAAATACCTAACGATTATATAATAAAAATAAGGAAAGGACTTACTAAGAATAGACTAATCTAAATACTACCGCTATTACGCGATAAAATCTTAACGGATATTTATACGCACCTTATAATAAGATATTAAGGAGTTAGAAAGACTCTTAAATAAATATAACGAATATACGATTACTAAGGAATTAAAGTAAATATCGCACGTATCGTTAGATAATACGAAGATTATATATATAATAAGGCTACCCGGTATAAACTATATAAAGAACTAAAGCTATTATTAATACCTTTAAGATTATAAGAATTAATAGCCTTCGATTATATTATAAAGCTACTTAAATCTAAGGAATTAAGATTTAATATCGAATATAATAATATATTTATTATTATAGATCGAATAAGTAAATTTAGATATTTCTTATTATATTAAGAAGTAATAAATATAGAAATACTTATATATATAGTGCTTAAATATATCGTAACTAACTATAGCCTTCCGGAAGAAATTATTTCGGATCGAGGAACGATATTTACCTCGAAATTCTAATAAGCCTTAATAGCTTAATTTAGAATAAAGTATAAGCTTAATATAGTTTATTACTTATAAATAGATAGATAAATAGAAAGATTAAATTAAATATTAAAATAATACCTATAGTACTATATTAACTATAAATAAGATAATTAAGTCTCGAAGTTATTACTCGCTTAACTCGCTTATAATAATATACCTATAGAATTAACTAAGATCTTATTATTTTATACGAACTATAGATATAAACCCGAGTTCGGTAATAAAATACTAAGGGATAGACCTCTTATTAAAAAAGTAATACTTAAAATAAACTAGCTATACTTACTATATAAATATATAAAGAAATAACTCGAATTCGTATATATACGAATATCGAAGTACTATAATAAGAAAAGATCGAAAGGACCGATTTTTTAAAAAAGAGATATAGTTTATTTATTATATAAAAATTTTATAATAACTTAATCTTTACCGAAGCTTAACTATAAAAAGCTTAAATTATTTAAAATTAACGAAGTTATCTTAGATACTAATTATAAGCTTTTATTACCCTTAAGTATAAGAATATACTTAGTTTTTTATATTATATTACTCGAAAAAGTATTATAAAATATAAAAATAAACTATAAATTAAAAGTCCTTAAAGAACTCTACGAACTAAAACAAATTATTAATAAATAAATAATAAATAGAGAAATTAAATACCTTATTAAATAAAAAAGCTATATAAGTAGCGAAAATATATAAGAACCCGCTAAATACCTTAAGAATTATCGCTACTTATTACAATAGTATTATTAAAGGGAAATATATCGGGTATTATACTTTAATCGATAACCCTAAATATACTTAACTCCTAAGCACGCTTAATTACTTATTACTCCTTAAGAATAATCTCTTCCTAAGAACGTACTTTATCCTCCTTATCTAACTTATATATATTACGAGATACTAACTCCGAGGTCTAACTTCGAAGTAATTCTTATTAATAACGAAGATACTAAACGCGCCTTAGAGCCTCTTAAAGCTCCCTCTCGGATTTTTCTAAATTTACTTTTACTTATTTTTACTTAGATACCGCACGCGTTATTAAAATATAGGTTAGTATACGCACGAAAAATATATATAGTACTTATAGTACGACGCTATATTAGTACTATTATAAGTTTTCTTTATTTCGATATACGACGTATAACGATAGGAATTACCGCTTATATAATAAATACGCTTAATACGATAATAATAAGTATAAAATATCTCGCTCTTAAAATTATTAAGATAAATAGCTTTAATTAGGATAGCGCGATACGAGTTATTAGCTCTTTTATAAGAAGATAGATATTTCTATATATAATTAAGTATAATAAAAAGAAAAAGTTACCGAGTACGACTTACGAAAGATAATTAACGGGTTTTAGTTAATTCTAAGATAGAATCTCGGAAGGGGAGATATTATATTATAACCCGATATACGACTATATACGCCTCTTATATACCCCTTGTTTTTTCCCTCTTATTATATATTACCTATATATTACGTAAGGTAGACGATTATAAGTAACTAGCGACTATAGTCGATTATATTATAAAAGCGCTTATAGACGATAGTCGACTATCGTCGATTATATAATATTTACTTAGTATATAAGAAGCCTAGCTTTACTATAGTTAGTCTTTACTAGCTCCTTAGCTATTAATATAATTATCTACGTAAGATCTACTATCTCGTATATAGACTATAACCCGATTACTTAAGTTAACGATATCTTAGTGCACTTAGTTTATAAACCGACTTCTATTCTATTTACTTAGTAGCTAGCTTAGACCCGAACGTTATACTAAGGGAGTAAGGTATATACTTAATATTTTAACGAATTTTATATATATTAATAAGTAAAATATTAATAACTTCGTGAATATTCGTTATATATAGATTATAGGGAGGAAAATTAATATATATAAGGGAAATAATAATATAATCGCGAATTCATTCTAGACTATATTCGTTATAACGGAGGTTTATTATAGCCCTTATTTTATTACCCTTAGTACTTAAAAGAATTTTTTTTTATAATATAATTAGCCCTTTATATATTAACTTATAATAGCCTTACTTAGTATTATATATTTAATATATATATATATATATATATTCTTATAGAAATATATAAACTTTATAGTATATTCTTAAGAAAAATTAATTAATAAATTTTTTATTCATTTATTTTTTTTTTATATTATTAGATAGACTTGATTTAAGCTATTAAGTTATTTTTAATAAGGCCTAGCCTATAATACCTTCTTAATATAAATATAATAATAGTAATATTATTACCTTTATAATTCCTATAAGGATAATATTTTTTAAAGTAAAACTAAAGATATTAAATAAATTATCTAAGACTTTCTATATTTTCCTAAAATCAGTCTATATATACGTACATAGTAATATACCTCTAAAGCTTATTCAGGATATCCTCTACAACTTGCTCAGTAGTCGCGGTCCCCCCCAAGTCCGGGGTCACCAGAACTCCGGCTTCAAGATTTGCATCAACAGCTGCATATATTTTAGCAGCAGCCGCAGGCTCCTCCAAGAACTCCAGCATCAGTGCGACACTTCGCAATGTCGCAATGGGATTAGCAATGCCCTTGCCCATGATATCAGGAGCACTTCCGTGGCACGGCTCGCCGATGGCGAATCCCTCACCAACATTGGCACTAGGTACCAGACCCAAGCTACCCACGAGAGCGGCTGCACCGTCAGATAAGATGTCACCGTAGAGATTCGGCGCTACGATAACGTCGTAATCTTCAGGTTGGCGGAAGAGCTTATAGACCATTGAATCCACAATCTGCTCCTCGACTGTCACACCATTGAATCTTGCCGCAGACAGAGCGCTCTTAGATGCGGCACGGAACAGGCCATCCGTCTGTGACAGCACGTTCGACTTGTGTGTCACAGTCACCAAGGGGGACTTATGGATGCTGGAGGCACCCTCTTCGCGAAGTCGTTGCCGGCGCACAGCAATATCGCCGGCCATTGTCGCGATTCGGAAAGATGCACGCTCGGAAATGCGCTTGATGGCCTCTGCGACCTTCCCCTCAGGACCGCTGTATGTCTTTTCTTCCTTCACATACAAGTCCTCCGTGTTTTCTCGTACGATAACCATGTCGATTGGCTTGACGGCCGTCATGACCGACTTGACGGGACGTACGTTCGCGTAGAGATCGAGCTTTTTGCGGAGGGCAACAATCGGGGATGAATATCCTTTGACAGCTTGAGTAGGCGAGCTCACGGCGCCAAAAAGAGCACCGTCGCACTCTGCCTTCAGAATGTCCACCGTCTTTTCTGGCAATGCGGCACCCGTTTGCTCAAAAGCCTCGAACCCAGCTTTCAGGTCTACAAACTCGAACTTGAGCTTGAGGTAGGCTGGTAGAGCCTCAAGCACCCGGCGGCCGGCAGGAATGACTTCCTTCCCAATGCCATCTCCAGGAATCAATCCTAAAAATACTTTGTAAGCCTGACATCGTCATGTTTATGAGAGCTAGCGGGCTTGTAAGGGGGTTTTCACATACCAATGCGAAGCGTGCGTACCGACATCATGAACTGTTGCTTGGTTTGTTACACGGCCGATAACCGGAGACAAATTTCGAAGAATTGAGATCCTGGTTGGAAAAGGAAAAAGTTGGGGAAGATTATTAGTTAGCGGGTTTACCGTGACGGTGACAGAGTGGGGGGTACGTGCCTTAGCAGCGGCCTTACCTTACTGGAGCATGTAGAGGACCTGCCCCACTATACCTCAAGCTTGAGCATCGACCTCTATCTGAAGTCCTGCCACGTTCGGCCAGCTTGAGGACACCTCAGCCTCAAGGACCATCGACTCTCATACAGTTGTGCGCACGATAGCTCCCACCAGCGCCAACGGAAACCACACCCCCGCGACTTGTTGGATCTCCAACGGCAATCATGGATTACGAAGCTCTCAAAGAACAATGGAGCGAGATGGAGGATCGAGATGGCGCTCGTCTGAGCTGGAACGTCTTCCCAAGCTCTCGTATGGTATGAATAGCGTCCAGTGTTCAGGTTGGACTAGGCTGAACCTTTGTAGGAAGCATCTCGACTTGTCGCGCCCATAGGCGTCTTGTACACGCCTCTGAAAGAGAAGCTCGACACCCCTCTGCTTCAATTTGAGCCGGTTACCTGCAAGCAGCCTTGCCGAGCTGTCTTGAACCCCTTCTGGCAAGTATGAAAACGACGGCAACCCGAAGCGTTACTGACAGTTCCAGTCAAGTTGACACCCGGGCGCGTGTTTGGATATGTCCTTTCTGTCTCTCGCGTAATCAGCTACCGCCCCATTACAAAGACATAACGAACAATGCGATCCCCCCAGAACTCCACCCAGCTAATTCTACGATCGAATATCGTCTCTCAAGACCGGCGCCTGCCCCGCCCATTTTCCTCTATGTGGTCGATATGTGTCAAGAGGAGGATAGCCTGGCGTCTCTCAAAGAATCGCTGGTAATGAGCTTGAGCCTCCTCCCGGAGAACGCACTCGTGGGACTGATTACTTATGGGACAATGGTAGTGGCCTCTGTCACGCTCCAGTATATGAATGTCGCTGACATTGACAGGCACATGTTCACGAGATCGGATACGACGAATGCGCTAAATCGTACGTTTTCCGGGGTAGCAAAGACTATTCCGCCAAACAGGTTCAGGATATGCTGGGATTAACCTCAGCTGCCATGCGTCCAGGCCTGCAGGCTCAGCCGGGTAGGCCCATGCCCATGGGCCCTGCTTCAAGATTCTTAATGCCGGTGCAACAGGCCGAATTTCAGTTGACAAAGGCCCTCGAGGCCCTTCAAAAGGATCCATGGCCCGTTGCCAATGATCGACGAAATCTTCGATGCACTGGTGTGGCTCTGAGTGTGGCTGTTGGTCTCCTGGAATCATCCTTTCAGAATGCCGGAGCCCGCATAATGCTTTTCGCTGGTGGGCCTGCCACTGAGGGCCCCGGTATGGTTGTAGGACCTGAGCTGCGTGAGCCGATCAGATCGCACCATGACATCGATCGTGACAACATCAAGTATTTCAAGAAGGCTCTGAAGGTTGGTTTGTTGCCCGCTTCACGTGTTCCAAAGCTTACCAAACGTGACACAGTTCTATGACAACTTGGCCAAGAGGACTGCCCATAATGGTCATGTAATTGATATTTTCGCTGGCTGCCTTGATCAAGTCGGTCTTCTGGAGATGAAAGGCCTCTGCAACTCGACGGGCGGACACATGATCTTGACCGACAGCTTCACCTCGTCCATGTTCAAGCAGTCTTTCGTCCGCGTATTCGAGAAGGATGGCGACGAGAACCTCCTCATGGGATTCAATGCGGTGCTCGAAGTCCTCACCACGAAGGAGCTCAAGGTAACTGGGCTGATTGGGCACGCTGTTTCGCTCAACAAGAAATCAGTGTCCGTCGGCGAAACGGAATGTGGCATCGGAAACACTTGTTCGTGGAAGATGTGCGGCATCGATCCCCAGGCGAGCTACGGCATCTACTTCGAGATTGCGAGTCAAGGGGTCCCCGCTCACCAACAAGCACCACAGCAAGGCATTATGCAGTTCTTGACGTACTACCAACACTCGTCTGGCCAATTCCATCTACGGGTCACTACGATTGCTCGCAATCTCAGCGGGCCGGCTGGCGATCCGACCGTTGCACAATCATTCGACCAGGAAGCTGCTGCAGTCCTTATGTCCAGAATTGCCGTTTTCAAGGCAGAAGTCGACGACGGCCCAGACGTCCTACGTTGGGTTGATCGTATGCTCATAAGGTTGTGTTCGAGGTTCGCAGACTACAGAAAAGATGACCCCTCGTCTTTCCGTCTGGAGAAAAACTTCACGCTTTATCCTCAGTTTATGTTTCACTTGAGACGGAGTCAGTTTCTTCAAGTGTTCAACAATTCCCCGGATGAGACAGCATTCTACCGTCATGTACTCAACCATGAAGACGTGGCGAATTCTCTCGTTATGATCCAGCCCACCCTCGACTCCTATACTTTTGACCAGGACGGGGGCCAGCCCGTTCTGCTGGATTCGGCGTCTATTCAGCCGACGCACATTTTGCTGCTCGATACGTTTTTCCATATCCTGATATTTCACGGTGAGACTGTTGCAGAGTGGCGCAAAGCTGGCTATCAGGAACAGGAGGGTTACGAGAATTTCGCCGCTTTGTTGGAACAGCCAAAGGAAGATGCTCGAGTAAGTCTCTTTGTAGACACCGGCTGTGTGGACACCTTTCTAATGAATCGCAGGACTTGATCACCGACCGTTTCCCGCTTCCCCGCTTCATTGTTTGCGATGCAGGCGGATCACAGGCCCGTTTCTTGTTGTCGAAGCTGAACCCATCGACTACTCACACTACGGGAGCGTACGGGGGAGTTGGCGCCACAACCGCGCAGACGATTTTCACAGATGATGTGTCATTGCAGACATTCATGGAACACTTGATGAAGTATGCTCATTGCTCCGCTGACAATACTGCGCTGACAAATTTCTAGACTTGCTGTTAGTGGCACTACTTAGTGCTCGTATTCAACTTGCACCTGTGATTCAGTATGGAATCGCCGCTACAATGCTCACCATGTTACGCATGTTGTGAATACACACACTGGATCTCAGTGTTGATCGAGGGAGAGGAGAGAAGCCTTTTGATGCAGTCAAATGATAGAGTTGTACAACGTGAGCCAAAGAATTCAGCTAAAGAATTCAAAGGCTAGTGATGGACAAAGATCCTAGGCAAACCATGGACCAAGCGACGGCATTTTCATGATTATTCTGATGGTATGTGTATCATCGATGACTAACTGCTTCGTCAAAACACTCGCCATTGAGGGATACATATGTACAGGAGTGAATTCTTTCGCGGATGTATTTCCTGAGAAGCTTCCGTAAGAATGAATATGGTAGTAATTACAGTGCAGGCTCAGTAATGTGTTTCGCGGCGCGGTATCATGTCTGGTTTAGTTCTACTTAACGAGGTACAGATATCTACAGTAGAAGTGTTCATCGCGATTCGCCGGACGTTTTTGCCAAGACCCACTCTAGCAAGCCTGGCCACTCACGAACCATCTTTGGACCTTACCTCAGCCTGCTGAACGCACGAGCCACTGCTCGTTAGGGCACACACCATTTTTCCCAATTTGAGCTTTCGAACTTTTTGCCAAACCCAACTTTTCCACAACCTCACCTCTTCTCGACCTCCATTGTTCGGCAAGCTAACCTCGAGCCTCTGTCGATATCACGATTATTTCATCATGCGTACGTCTGCAAAAGATTACTCCGTAAACTACATGCTGACATCCCCTAGCTCCTAAGTTCGATCCCAATGAGGTGAAGGTCATGTACGTTTGCTGCTGCAATGGCTATCAGTGATTCGCGCTGACCATGGATCTCTCACAGCCACCTTCGCGCCACTGGTGGTGAAGTCGGTGCTTCCTCTGCACTTGCGCCCAAGATCGGTCCCCTGGGTCTGTCGCCCAAGAAGGTCGGAGAAGATATTGCCAAGGCTACCGGCGACTGGGTATGTTTGGCAAAATAATATTTGGTTACTGCCACTGATGTCGCTCTAGAAAGGTCTCCGTGTCACCGTGAAGCTCACGATCCAGAACCGCCAGGCCGCTGTGTCTGTCGTGCCCACCGCTTCATCCTTGATCATCAAGGCTCTGAAGGAGCCCCCACGCGATCGCAAGAAGGAGAAGAACATCAAGCACAGCAAGTCTGTTCCTCTCGATGAGGTCATTGCTATCGCTCGTACGATGCGCTACAAGTCTTTCGCCAAGGAGCTCAGTGGCACCGTCAAGGAGGTCCTGGGTACTGCCCGCAGCGTTGGCTGCCAGGTCGATGGCAAGTCTCCCCAGACTGTCATCGAGGGTATTGACAGCGGAGACATTGAGAGTAAGTCCTGGCATCCACCATCCTGAACCCCGACTAACAATCACAAAGTTCCCGACGAATGAGATAGCCATCAGGCACTACAATGATGACGCGAAGTTCACGATAACTGCATCGGCCACCGGTCGAAGATGATAGCACGAGATCATGATACCAGCTCTTATCGGTGTACTGTTTCCTCGCCTTGTGCACAACAACAATCGTGACTACCCCCGCATGAAATGCTCACCTTGACTCACTCTGAATCAACCTGATTGCCCCGTGGTTGAATTCAATTTTTGTCCAAGGAAGATTGACATGACCCCATACTCACCGCCACATCTAAAATTATCATATGGATGTGTTGGTCCATTGGCGCGGTCAACATTTCACACTATCTTAGGGTTGTCTCCTGTGCTAAAAGTCGCCGTTGAGCAGGCACCTTCTGAAAGTGCCTGGTCGCATGTTTGCGCTTCTCGTTCCGATCCATGCGTGTACCTAATGAGATATATGCAGTGTCAAGAGCAAGTGCAATGGTTAATGGAGCAAAGAGGTATCGAAGGGCCGGGCAGCGACCCGCGCTGGCGCGTGCACAGTAAATCATAGTCAAACTACCTGAAGCAAGCAAGTCAAGGATGAATGCCAAGTATTACAACCATCAAAATTGCAAGAGTCCTCGAGACTAGAGCCTCGGGCAAAAAATATCCCTCAAACATCAAATTAGAAGGGGTACAGACAATACTCTAGTACTGTCCAGCATGGGTAATGCCAGTGTCTTCTTTATCATATTGTTGACACGTTGGCCTTCAGAATCCAGCTTGGTGTTGGCGAACTCTCGTCTCTGCTTAGTAGTTGAGATTCTCGGGTAGGTACATGCTTGCATCCTTGGTTCTGCCCACCTCAGCAGCGGACTTGGGTGCCACGGGTCAAACATGCTTGGCTCAAGATACCACGTACGCCCTGGCGCATTGGCTACGGCCACCAGTATCGCATTTGTTGTCTGCACTGCCTTGAATCCCTCCTTCTATTCTAAAGCGACACATTGACCTTAGAGCGCGATCCTTCCGCCGCAGCGGAGGATTAAGATTATTAGGAACGAAGCGCACCAGATCACTTATCAGCAAGCGCCATCCCCTCGCGTTGATTGAAGTCAATAGTCAATACCGCACAGCATTGGTCCAGTGCTCGCCAATGCCTCCAAGTTCTAACGCGTTGCGACAGGATCGCATGCGTGCATCGCTGGCCTTCGACGCAGAGTGATCTGGTCGTTGAGCAGAGGCAAAAGCTGTCTATCTTGTTCGGAAGTCACCTTCAAGCCATGTCGCAACGAAGACGCCAGAACGACTGCTCTCGGCAACGCTCCACAACCAGGCGTGCTGAGCTCCGTCCGAGTCTCGACCAGCCCCTTGCTGGATTTTCACGGGCATCGCCCTTTCGACAGACACGGATGGGCCAACGCGATATGACTCTCGGGTTCTCCCCGTACCGACGAATCGAAGGACCATGGCACCGGCCCAGAGTCTATGCCACATCAGGGGCGACGCTCACGCCCGAAGAACATACATCGCTCGGACTTCTTAAGTCACCAGAGGGAAAACTGGAAGGCGCCAGGTCTTTATACCACTGGGGGAATAGGAGCTCGGAAAATGACGGACAACTGCCGACGCCAGTGCTGGCATGGGGTTCAAACGGTCAACATGCGAACCCTGCACCGCATCAACTTGAACATGACGGATCGTCATTGTGCCAATACTCTACATCTATGCAGTTGAGCTGCTGGCTTGAAGATTCATCACCACCGAACTTTCGAATCAATGGCAACAATGTACGTGCCTTTTGTCCGCCACCTATGCCTTCGGCGGACGATTTGTCGCTAGGGCAAGGCTGGCAGACCGACCAGCCAACCTGGAACTATCGTGCAACTAGACTATGTGCTAGTCAGAGTGGCCGCGCAGCTGGACCAGACATTGCCAATTCGCCACACGTCGACTTTGACATACCTCCATCTACTTTCACAGGCTCGCTGCTTTCTTCAGCGTACGCGCAACCCATTATGCCTGTCAATGCGCTGGCTTCAGGATACAGTCCAGCGTTCCGTGAGAAGACGCTGTCTGAAGCACACCAGCTCTATGTTGATTTATTGACGGATGCTTCGGTGAGACGAGCCAATTTGGCAAAGCGGGAAAATCGTAAGCCTGGCAGTCATCGAGGCTTCGTCTATCCTAAGCCCCCCAACCCCATTGGGCTGAGCGCGAATGGGACCCCCAAGAAAGAGGGCCCCGACGATGGACGACGGAACGCCTCCGAGGCGTTGCCAAAAACTGGGCAGCTCTATAACCGCCCACAGCCCCTGGCGGCAAGTCGTAACTTCATTCCAAAGGGGTCATTCGAAAGTACACCTCAATCTGCGGCAAAATTCAACCTTGAGATACTCAGTGCGTTATGTGAACAAAACAATTGGCAATGGCAAGAGGGAATGCTGATGGGTGGATGCCTTCACTATGGCCTCGGTAATTTCGAGGATGCATTACAGTGGTATTCGCATATCCTCGTGACAAACCCCCGGTGAGCAACCTGGTAGCTACAATTCTTTGCCTTTGCTGATTTATGTCCAGTCATGTTGTGGCAATGACTAATGCTGCGGCGGCGTCATATTGCTTGGGGCGATACGACGACGCCGAGCAATATTGGTCAAGGTCCATGACAATGTGTCCCGAGTATCTGGAAGCTACAGAGCACCTCGTCGGGTTGCTTTACAGGAAACGCAGCAGAGAAGCAATTGAAGCCATCACGTATGTTCAAGAGTCGCTGAGGCTTGGACGCGGAAGACCATCTTCCTGGACAGGACCCGTAAGAAAACATCCGAGCTCTACATCCCTCACATATGTTGACCATTTTAGGGGAACAGTCTGTTAGGAGCTGGCTCTGGTGGTTACGGCTCAAGTGGATACTCTATACCAGGCAGCGAAAATGGCAGGATGCTGGCCTTGCTACACGCCAAAGGCACTATGCTCTATGGCATGCAGGAAATCGGTCGAGCAGCAGAGGCCTTTGAAGAAGCTGTGCTTATCAGCACTGGGCAGCGCGCAAGCAATGTGCAAGAACTTGTTCGGCGCATACAACAAGTCTTGTCACCGCCAGGGAAGCATGGTGAATTGTCCACTAGTCAACCACCGCCGCTTTTATTGGGACCAGCCGAAGCTCGAAAAACAGCACAAATCCTTTTCGGCGGCCGGGGTGAGCTTCCTGGGCTTGCCCATGTCATCGATGAAGGATCTAGATGGGCCGCAAGTCAGACGACGAGTAATTCGCTCTTATCTCTGGCTAAGATCTTCCAGGATTCCATGGCAAACGACACACAGAGGAAAAGCCCCGATTCGCGTATCTTCAGCGTGGGCGACATCCTGTCTTTGTACTACCTGTCGCTCTCGCTGCAAGAGAGTCCCTCTACAGCAAACAACGTTGGCATACTGCTAGCTGGTGTGCAGAGCTCAGGATGGCGCCATCAGCTTTCACAAGATGCTCAAGAAACAATGAGGTCGACGAAGATCCCTGGTATCCTACCAGGGAGTGGGCTTGCGCTAGCTTTGGCGTACTATCAGTATGGTCTGCGTCTTGACCCGAAACATGTTCACTTGCACACCAATCTTGGCAGTCTTCTCAAAGACATCGGCCAGCTTGACTTGGCGATACAAATGTACCAGCAAGCAGTCGCTTGTGATGGGAACTTCGATATTGCGCTGACAAATCTCGCCAATGCTGTCAAAGATCGAGGGCGCATTAAGGATGCCATTACATACTACAGAAGGGCGGTCCAGGCTAATCCGACCTTCTCCGAGGCCGTCTGTGGGCTTCTCACAGCACTGAATTCGGTCTGCGACTGGAAAGGGCGCGGCGGGGTCTTTCTCGACTTCGGTCGATTCGATCGATGGCATGTAGACGACTCGGGAGCTCTGGTGGACGCTAGATCTCGTGGTCGGGGCAGTGGAGTGACTCAACGTGTGGTCAATATCGTGGCTCACCAACTTGAAGAGGCATCTCACTGGGGCAAACATACACTCCGCGAGGACATGATTTGGTCAATGTCGACGTACCTTGCGCAACTCTGTCAAAACCAGGGCGAGCAACTTGCAGCCTGGTTGCGAGCCTGGAAAGGTCAGTCTTGGGAAGGTTGTCGCCTGGTCCGCCTCGTGGAGCGCGCCACCCGTGTTGCTGTCCGTAACAGCTATCTGGCACAGATCGAGTTCGGTACATCGCCACCAGCCGACCTGCGCATGCCGTTACCACCGGGGCTGACTGTGCCGTCAGCGCCGACAATACTTCCGTTCCACACATTCACGTGTCCGCTAAGCGCAAAGGACGTGCGAGCGATATCTCAGCGAAACGCACACCGTACCAGCTGTTTAACATTGAAGTCATCTTGGCTGCCAGCTTCTCTGCCAAGGCCGCCGACGCCACCAGCACATCACCTGAATGTTGGCTATATCTCCTCAGATTTCAATAACCATCCTCTGGCGCATTTGATGCAGTCCGTGTTCGGGTTTCACGATACGCGACGCGTGCGCGCACACTGCTATGCGACAAGCCCCAGCGACAAATCGTTGTATCGGCAGAAAATTGAAAAAGAGGCTCCTGTCTTCCGTGACGTTAGTGATTGGGCTTCTGCTTCTGTTGTCCGTCAGATCCTGGAAGATAACATACACATACTTGTGAACCTGAATGGGTACACAAGAGGCGCGCGCAACGATATTTTCGCTGCTAGGCCAGCTCCAATCCAGATGTCATTCATGGGGTTCGCAGGGACTCTCGGCGCTGAATGGTGCGACTACATCTTAGCGGATCATATCACTGTACCGCCTGGCACACTTCGGCCTTGGAGAAACAACTTGAGCATCGACGACCTGTTCCAAGATAGAAATGAAGAAGATGACGGCGATTGGGTGTACTCGGAGAATGTCGTCTACTGCAAGGAGACTTTCTTTTGCTGCGACCATGCGCAGTCAAGCGAGCCGGGTGAGCGCGAAGTTTCATGGGCCACAGAGCAAGAGCGCAGGTGGCAGATGCGCAAGTCATTGTTTCCATCTCTGCCCGATGAAGCTATCATCTTGGGCAATTTCAACCAGTTGTACAAGGTAGGCTTGACATACACTATTCTTCTGACCGATACTCAAGCTGACCGGCCTGCGTTTGTCACAGATTGAGCCAACGACCTTCCGCACATGGTTGCGCATTTTGGCTGGTGTCCCACGAGCTGTGCTGTGGCTCCTTCGATTTCCCGACTTGGGTGAGGCCAACCTTCTTGAGACAGCCAAGGCCTGGGCTGGTGACGAGGTTACTAGCCGCCTCATTTTCACCGACGTGGCGCCAAAGAACCAACACATTGCACGAGCGCGCGTATGCGATCTGTTCCTCGATACCCCAGAGTGCAACGCTCATACAACGGCGGCGGACGTATTGTGGTCCAGTACGCCGTTGCTCACGCTTCCGCGATATCCTTACAAGATGTGCTCGCGCATGGCCGCATCTATACTCAAGGGTGCCCTTCCCAGATCCGCGGAAGGCGAACGAATCGCTGCTACACTCATAGCGAATACCGAGACTGAGTACGAGCAAACAGCCATTGCTCTTGGGAATGGACTGACGTACCATTTCGAGAATGGCCTTTATGGTGAAGGCCGCGGTCCACTCATGGACATGCGGCGAATCTTGTTTGAAAGTAAGTGGGCATGCCCGCTATTCGACACGCGCCGCTGGGTCAGCAATGTCGAGAGCGCTTACGAGGTGGCGTGGCGGAGATGGGTCGATGGTCAAGGTGGTGATATCTTTCTGTGACGTGACCGTGATTACTAGTGATTTGATTGATCGGACACAAGAATCGTCTGGTGTCGTGTCTTATTTTTTGAGCCGGAGTTGGGCGAGTTGGGCGCAATTACTTCTGCTTGTTTCGCTCTTTTCTGCGACAAGTCCTTGGTCGGGGGAAGTTACTATGTGATCGTAGTGTGATCATTGCTCCTAAACTACCTACCTAGAGGCGCGACACAGGACCAATACTTGCCGTTAGCTTTGTCTGGTCGGTTAACACAAGCTCCATGTCTGTTTGCGCCATCCCAAAGCTGCATGAACTTTGGCTACGCACATCCAAACCTGCTTCGGGCGGCGTTGACTTGATCCTGGCGAGGCCGGAGAATGCTAACAGGCGGTAGGGCAGGTAAGATATCTAATCCGCATGGTGTAGCATTTACAAAACCCCCAAGGGGCGATCAGGAAACCATTCCGTGACCCGGTTCCTGACTTGCCGCAACGTGCTCAAAACTGACCAGCAGGTCTGCAGACGGTCTCCATAGGTTTGACGCCGGGAAATGTAAGGCCAGAACACTGGCAACTGTTCAGGGTCGAACGCTAGACTATGCGCTGCCATGTTTGATATGTTCAACGACTTAGTACTCACAAGCTATACTATGCCCGTGAAGGCATTGAATGTGACAGAATGCTGTGCAGATACCACCAGACGGTATGTCACAGCATGTGACGAGCTGCTCTTCAGCCGAACGACCTTTGTAAGCCGGTCAATGCACCTCGAGGCACCTACCGCTATGTAGAACAAAGTGTGCTAGATTTCGCATAGGTGAATCCCTACAGCATATGGCTCGGCCTGAACTCCCGCCGGCGAAACACTGTGGCCAATGATCAATCAGAATCTGGATGCTCGGCGCCTTCAACTTGTGCAATATCGCGCAGTTGAAAAAGACGCTTCTCGCTTGTTGGAGAACTGAGAAAACTAGGCACCCGTTCGACTGGTGTATTTATATTTGACGTCAGTTCACTGGTGACTGGGTGCGGTTGTTACATTCGTGTCTTACAATATCCAGCAGTGAGGCTCCTGTTGTCGCTATGAGTCCAGGACTCGGTCACTCTTCGCTACAATTACATCATCACCACGTCTCCGCCCCCCTTATCAGATTTCAAACTTCATGCCTAGTTCAGGAGACTATTAATTGAAAGACCAGGGCGTGACCGATCGGGAAGATGTGTTGAGCGGTGGCGTGAGTGGGTGCACGGGTCTTGGTGTGACGGTTGCTGGACACTCCATTGCTGAGAGTACTCCCTTTGAGCTGGTTGAAATGGTCCAGGGCCAAGACTGACGTCCAGATAATCATGGCCGTACCTTTCCACATTTATGTGGTTTGTTGCGTGGCGATGCTCGTCTCTGATGTTTGAGCGTGTGCCACGGTCGAGAAGCCGAGAGCGTTTGCGTGGCACGGCTTCTTCATCCAGTGATTCGGTAGGCCGGTCAGCCGCAAGATTGGCATTAAATACAGATACAGGTTGTGGGACATGAGCGCACTGCGGGCAATCGACTGGTAACGATGCGTCACACTCATCGCAGCAGGCCCAGATGCTTTCGAGGGCTGGGGTGCGGCAGCAGTGACGTCTCGGCGCATTTTTGGCTTGAAGCGAATGCCGACAGCTGACCGACGCCTGGATACTCAGTCGGATGTGAGGAGAGGTAGCGTTGGCACAGTTCGTGGGTGGCTGCGGCGACTGGTGTTCATCCCAAACGTGGATACTTTGAGAAGTGGAGGGGGAAGTATGCAAAGCTGGTGTTGCCGCTGATGATGCCGGAGCAGTTAAAACAGTTGCAGGGAACTTTGCATTTAGATGAGAAGTCGGAACTTCAAATAACCGAACTGCACCATCGTGACCAGGACGGTCCAGTCGTTCGCGTTGTTTGCGCTGACGCTGGTTGTACCCGTTCCACCAGTTTTTGATGGCATTGTCGCTGCGGTTACCCATAAGTCGCGAAAGATGGGCCCAACGCTTGCCATGGCGCGAAACATTTTCGATTATCCATTGCCCTTCGGCAGGGGAGATCGGGTCGTGACACAGGTTCTCGTCCAGGTTCTGATGATAGCGTTCGCGGCATTGCTTCGCCGATCGTCCAGGCATTTGTATGGCAATTGCTGTCCACGAGCTTGAACCGCATACTCTCCGGGCGAGGACAAGTTGCCTATCTTCTGCTTTTGACCATGGTCCTTTGGTCGGTTTCCGGGGCGAAAGTGTGGTAGGCTGCCTCATGCTTGACAAGTCCACCTGTGAAGTAGGCAGCTGGTCAGAGAGCTGCTCCATGATTGTGACAGCTGCGCCTTTTCCTCTGGTGCTCAAATATATGAGAATACATACAGGAGGGATAAGAGTTTCAGTCGTCGGGGAAGAGAGTAAGGGTCATTCTGCCGAAGGGGGCACAGCGCGGTGGTGTTGGCACCTTAACAAATACAGACGGCATGGGTTCCGCTGCGCTTGAGAGCGTAAAAGTGAATTAAAAAAAGAAGAAGAAGAGGTTAGAAAAAAAACAATGCGGTAAGTTCTAATGGTTTGGGGCACTAGGCGAAACGGTGCTTTCTTTTGACGAATATCCACCCCTTAACGCTTCTCGAATAAGAATACAGGTAGGTGGGATTTGACTACCAATGGCGCCGGTAAGCTTGAAACCAAATAGAGTCCGATTGAGCCAGAGTGTCGCTAGAATTAAAGAATAGGTCACCAAGCAAGAGGCTGGACTATTTGCTTAGAGTTCTGTGACTGTTATTGAATTTGTTGTTCGCCGATGGCGTGCGGGAAAAAAAAAAAGGCAACTCACTCACAGGCTCCAACCTCCAGTCACAACTCTCAACTGCAGACTGGGAGATCAGATCAGAACATGGGCAAGGACAGGGGCTTTGGGCTGGCCGCTGGTGCAGTGTCGAGTCGTCGACTGGTCGACACTCGACACTCGACCAGGGTGCCCCTGCTTCACGGAGTGGCGGTAGTGGTGATCAGCTCCGATGGTTCAGCCCAAGCCACGTACGTCTAATTAAGATCGGGTTCAAGGTGGACTTAGTTTTGGGTACCTCGACTAGTAGGTGCGTACAATTTCGATCAGGGACTGGCCTGGCAGCGAGGCCCGGTCCTCTAAAGCCTAGATATACTACTGCTACACATTGCAGTACCGACGCCGCCGTTCAGCAGGATTGGAGAACTGCATGGAGCATTCGGGCTCTGGGATTTGTGCACCCACAGTCGACTTGTCATTAGTTCATCAGATCCATCCCCCAATCGATCTAAGAAAACCGTCGTTAGCTAGACACATCGGTTACTACTAGAATCTAGTCGCATCCATGGACCACCCTTCTGGGGATTATGGGACACTTATGTCAGACTTCTGCTAATGCGCAGGAGCAGGTATAGGGTTGGCAAAACACCACAGTCTTCCTCGACCTTATTACATTACTGTGATGCGCTGTGGAGAAGGTTGTTCAAGTGCCTTGTATTATTACAAAAGAGATAGCCGTTGAGGCTCTATTTATGCGTTCTTGATCGCATG